CCATGCAGTCAGCCATGGGGATTTAGCTGCCTTACCCACCTGGCACTTACGACACCAGCTGCTTAGAGGGCTTCCTTCTGATGGGCATGTCTGACCAGCCCCCGCGGAGATGTTTTTCTTGTCATCATTCTTTTACTTGCTGACCCAGTCGGGAACTCAACCACCATCCTGCTTTCATGCCTGGACACCTACCTGTCTGCAGGCTATGGAACTGGCTCAGTTTTCTTTTTCTTTTTTTATGATTCCATTTCCCTTTTTCACTCAGGCTAATACTAAACTGAGGCATGGTGCTTAACCACCATGGTTCGAGTCCTGGATCTGGTGACTTGCTTTATCACTTTCTCTTTCTCTCTCTGGTCAAATTAAAACATAAATAATAATAACAAATAAAAATAAATAAATCTTTAAAAATTTAAAGTGAGGCTTGAGTTCTGGGAGCATGCACCTACATACATACAGTGCTGATAGTCAGTGAGCAATCTCTATGACTGGAGAAAGCCAGCCCTAAATGACAGATCTGCTGTCATTTGATCTTTGAGTGGTCAGTTGTGGGGTATGATATTTAGGGAAGAAATGGGCAGGAGGCTGAGTAAAGGTGGGCAATTATAATGTTCAGGATTCTCTTTAAGAAGCTAGTCTTGGTGCGAGTGACAGGGTGCCACTGCATAACGACTGAGGCCAGTGGAAAGCCCAGATTCTGTTCCTGTCCAACCTAAAACAGCCTGGGCATGGTGATGTGCACCACCATAGTCACCGCCATGGTCCTAGCTAACAGATCACAATGACATGAAGAGACCCTGTCAAAAATACCCATGTCTCTCCCTCCTGGCTCTTCTCTCTCCTTTTTTCATTATAAAAAAGAAGCAGCTGGGAACCAGCAGTTAGCGTAATGGCTGTGTCGCTGGATTCCCATGTAGTCGACTGTGGTTCGCGTCCCGGACCCGGTGGCTTAAAACTCACACCGGGCGCGTGTGCGTGCGTGCCCAAGATCCTGAGAGGAGAATGGAGGAGAAGGGATTGTGGCGTGGCCATCCCCCCGGGGGGTTATTTCTCGCTTTCTGTCTCTATGTCTCTCTGTCTGTCTGTCTGGTGAGCGCACGTGCCCTATAGCGAAAACCTCTCCAAAAGAAAAAAAAAAAGCAGCAAGTTTTTGCTATTTCTCTATATCCTGAACTTTCAAACCAAACAGGCGCACAGAATTGAGAACCATCTATGTATTGCATGAGTGATTCCTAAAAATCCTCTGTCGCCAAAGGTCCCCCACCGGGGCACTGCCAGGCCTAAATTACACCATAAGTGGCAGTCTTTCTAGGATTGAGAGTTCAGTGTTGCCTGCTCTAGGCTCTTCGTAAAACGTAAGTACTCCTGGGTTACTCGGACACTCCCAGAGTAGGAGAGAAGTAGGAACCAAGGAGAGAGACCTTTTAAGGGAGTCAGGTCTGGGAAACAGTTGAGTTGCTGGCTACAAAGTCTAGGCTCCTCAGTCGCAGTGAAGTGAGTTTGTCACACTCAGCCCAGGATCCCAGTGCTCTGGCATTGCCTCCTGAGCTCTGCAAGCAGCTAGGCCAGCAGCCTCCTCTTTTTTTTTTTTTTTTTTTTTTGAGAGGTTTTCACTATAGGGCGCGTGCGCTCGCCAGACAGACAGAGAGAAAGAGAGACAGAAAGCAAGAAATCACCCCCCAGGGGGGATGGTCACGCCGCAATCCCTTCTCCTCCATTCTCCTCTCGGGCACACACGCACGCACACGTGCCCGGCGTGAGTATTTTAAGCCACCGGGTCCAGGACGCGAACTGCGGTTGACTAAGTGGGAATCCAGCGACATAGCCATTACGCTAACTGCTGGTTCCCAGCAGCCTCCTCTTGATGAGGAGCCTTTTCAGCTTCACTGTGGCTAGTTTATTCCTGGGCCAAAAACTGACCAGTAGGCACAGAGCAGGGACTGAGCGGAATTCCGGCACCACTGAGCAGCCACGCATCCCACCCACAGACAGCAACTCATGGAAGAAGACAGCAGTGTCTGTCACCTGCCCCAAGGCAGCTTCCTTAGGTCCTAGATGGGTAATACCCCCCTTCTTATCACAGTACAGAGGTAGGAAGGGTGGGGATATAATTGTTATCCTCTGAAATCCTTATCATCCCTGACTCAGTGGAAGGACTCCACTGAAGGTTTAAAGAAACAGACAAGTGGGGGGTCCGGCAGGTGGCACAGTGGTTAAGGCGCTGGACTTCTACATGGCCAACCACAGTATGAGTTCTGGACCTGATGACTTGCTTTCTCACTTTTCCCTCTCTCTCTGGTCAAATTAAAAAATAATAAATAAATAATTCTTTAAAAAAAAAAAAGAGGAGTGGAAGAGATTTCTCTCCTTTACTGTTGGGTGGTTTTGTTTGTTCTAGTTTTTCCTCCTCCTTATTTATTTATTTTTAAAATATTTACTTTTTATTATTTATTTATATATATATTTTAGAGAGATTTTTGGGATAGGGCATGTGTGCTCTCTGGGGAGACAGAGAGCTAGAAAGCAAGAAGTCACTCCCCAGGGGGGATAGCCACACTGCAATCCCTTCTCCATTCTCCTCTCAGGATTTTGGGCTCACATGTACACATGCCCATGTTTTTCAAGCAGCTG